GAAAGTGACGTTTTAGCAGGGACACTCCGTACTGAAGGAGCCAGAAGGGGAAGGAGGGAGCGGGCGGCGGGGAGGAAAAATGGCGCCGTCAGGCGAGAGCCGCTGGCAGCCGCTGCAGTCAGCAAGAGCAGCGAGTGACGCCCTGGGCTCCGCCAGGGCCGGGCTCCGCGCTGGAAGTTGTGGCCAGCCACCTAAACCTCTTTCTTCCTACTCAGCCAATGGGGAAAACAGAGGATCTGTTCTTTTGCTGTCCATGCTTCAGTGATCTCAGATCTGGGGGGAAAGTTACAAATCTTGGAAAGAAGGATGTGCACTGATACCGGACACAAAGAATGCAGAATTTACAGGCCACAGGGACATCTGGCAGAGCTCCCAAGATAAGAAAGTAATAAAGCAAACTCAGCAATTGTGTTAAAATAGCTCCAGCTGGGTAAAAGTTAATTCTGGTAGGGGGAGATGATGACTACCAGCTCATGTACCACTGACCCCAGAAACCGTGTATTAAGGGGGTCCAAAATTGTAGGAACACCAACAAGAACAATGAGAAGCAGAAAGTGTCATGTAACACTCACCTAATCAGTCACCTACTGAATTATCCATGGATCTCTGCTCAGTACCCTGTTACTGTGCCATTTCTCTGGCAAGACTGTTCAGGTGAGCTGCACCCACACCTGAGCCTCCTGGTTCAGCACACATGCACTGTGAGGCCATGCAGCCAGGTGTGAGGATCTGGAACATGTACAGGTTGCACTTGTTGACCAAAATACGATTTTCCCGAATTCACACAAACATGCTGCAAGATAAAAGCCGAGATTGAAACACCTATCAAAACCACACATCAGTTCTCCACGTGCTCCCTGCAGGGTAACAGTTTGTAACAGAATTGCCCCAGAAGAAAGAATCGTTTCTTGGCGGAATGAAAGGACACAGGCTGTTAAGGGAGGAGAAGGAAGAGCATAGCCATTAAAGCACGGTTAACCCATTTTGATACTGATTGCACCAATTTGGAGTACAATGCAGAGGGGAGACCACAGCCATTTCTCTTCCGAATTGCATTGTGCATAAGAATTGATTGTTAACTCCGTGATTTTTGTTTTCTATTTGTCCTCTGTCTACTGACAATGGCAGATGAATTATGTTAGAGAGCTATGTGTCAGAAAGAACAGATTTATCTACCAGTTAAGGAGGAATAGCCAAGGGCAGGCTACTGAGATGAAACTGCTAGAAAATTGTCAGAACGAGTACCCAGGAAAAAAGATCCGGCGAAAGATCTCAGTCTCTGAAAGGGATAATGAAAAAACCCTCCCTCAAGCTGCCATATCATTTGGTAGCCTGGTGCCAGATGTAAGAGTACTAGGACTGCAGGTCGCAGTGGTTATTTAGAGGACTAATGGGTGAAATAGGGAGAGACTGCCCAGCTGTCATGGGTTTCCAAATTATTTCCTCCATATAGCCCTTTATCATAATTGAAGAACATACAGCAGCGGCTCATAATCTGTAAACATCACAGCAGCACTGCAATCGTTGTTGGCTTCTTGTGCCTTCAGTTTCACTCACTAAAAGAATGGTTGTCCAAAAAAATATGTACTTGTCTCCAATGGACAGATTTTTCAAGGAACCTAAAAAATGCATTTACATTCATTGTTACTGTTAGGTTTGGTAAGCCCCTATCAATGTCAGTTGAAAGTAACAGTCTGGGGCAGTCTGGGGTTTTCCAGATTTTTTACACTTCTGATATACATGATAGAAGGTAAATTAAGCTGTGGAAATTTTGTGTGATGAAACTGAGCTGAAGGTATTTTGATATTTTCCATGTAGCGCCTATTCTGGGAACAACTTTATCATCTTGAAAAAAGAAACCTGTTCAATGAAGTCTAAAGAAGTATTTTTGGTTTTGACTGAGTATAAACATAAGACAGCCAATGTTCCAGCAGCCCTATAAACCATATGCTGTGTTTTGTTGTCAAAGAAATTGGTTGTGTTTTGTGTCAATGCTTACATAATGTGAAAATAAAGGATTTCAAAGCTCTGGGCAGGATGTCTTGTCAGGACCCTGCTGCCTGTTACATTAACTGCCCAAGAACAGGACAGAGTTTCTCTTTTTGATCTGAGTTGCAGACCTGTAACTACCATATGCTATCACTCAGCAGTGGGACCAGAGAGAGAATGAACACTGGGATAGAAGGACTTGTGCTCCAATCTAGTACAATGGAAGAGACTCTAGGGTAATTAATTACATCCCCTCTAAACTTCAAACCCCACCTTTAGGTGAAGGCAAGGGGTTTGAATACTGGACTGATATCACCTCAAGAAGCAATGCACCAGTCCCTTCCCAGACTGAAGAGCCAAATCCTCAGGTTTCAGGACTACAACATGAATTCTGTACACAAGGATTCTGTACCACAGGACTGAACCATCTCCTTCCTGGGAGATCACCTTGGAAATTAGTATGGAGGAAGTCTCATTTCTTACTGGCAAACAAGCCATTAGAAACACAAGATCAGAATCAAGATTACTTTTAAGACTTTTGTGTCTCTTGAATGCTCTAAAAAGCCAGTACTCCAACAGATCATCTCTTTCCAGAAATACAGCCAAATCTTCAGAGCATCAGTCTGGAGGCAGAAGGCAGTTTTAAAGAATGAAGTCACTTTCCAGTTTAAAACCAGAACTGCTATCTCTAACAGCAAGACTTGGCCCACAGCATCCCAGATATTCTGGGGTCTCATGCCAGGACCAGAACTCTGGCCCTGCTCTCCTTAGTAAAGAAGACAACAACCCTCCTACAAGCCTTGGTATGAACTTAAAAGATATTAATGCCTTCCTCACATTGTTTTCTGCACATCTCTTACCAGTTTGTGCTAGGTTTAGGACTTTCATCACTTTGATGTTATGTCCCTCCTTGTCACTGTCCATTGAAAGCATATCCAAACATTAGTAAAGACAGGAATTTGCCATACATGCAACACTGCAAAATCTGCATCAGCAAGTTCTGTGTGCAGTCTCCCTGGTAATAAGACAAAAGAAGGAAGCTGGTGTTTTGTACCATGCCACAAAATAACCTGCCCATCCCACATATGTTAGAGCAGGAACTATGAGCCATTAGACACGGGACATGTGGCAGCTTTTCTACAATGCAGATATGCAGCAGCTGATGTTCAATGTGCATTTAAAGGCTGGTCAGGCTTATTTCAGCGCTTGCTGGGTGACTGACCAGCTGTTCCCTTTTGTGGAGGGAACACCCATGAAAATCTGAGCATTCTGGAATAAAACCCATTGCACAGACTTGTGGGAAGGACAGGTGTTTGCACTCAAATGGCAGCATGTGTTACCAATACAACAAAAGAGCATAACAGAAGAAGACAACTGTCTATTTTCTGATAGTCTCTGTGTCTGATAGTCTTAGTAACGTAGGAAATTTTAACCTGCATTCAGGAAATAACATCAATAGTCCTCCCAAAGACATGAATCTGCAAAAGGCTGTCCCTACACAGCAGGCAGACTTGCTGTTTCAGGTAAAAATCAGAAAAAAAAAAATAAAAAATACTAGGTTTAGAAGCACTTAGGCATGAAGCAGATACACATTAGTCACCCATGAGGAAGTTGATTTTTTTCCCAATATTTCAGAGTTACCCAAGACAGCTGCCTATAAAGTTCTTTCCAAAGAGGAAAGCTCTTCTATTATCAGTTCTCATGACTTGAAAGAACAAGATTTTCAAACTTCTGCAAAAAGACCTATATGAATTTTCAGAACTGATCAGAATCAGACAACTGAGCCACTGTTAATATAAACCACTACATGCACGCATCTCCAATTAGTCACCCCACAAAAAGCAAATACTGCCTAAGGTCTGTGCTTGTACATCACAGGAAACCTCATTCAGAGCCCAAGTCCAGGAGCCTGTGTACTGAAAAAAAATCACATCTTACTGTAGCTCCATAGAATCCTCCATAATAAAAACTTCTAACCTTTATCAGTTCTGCTGCAAACCAGGCAGTGTTTCTGCAACTCTGGTGAATGGTGTTCAGCTGTCAGTCAATTGAGAAGCAGCAAAAGAAACTCTGCTTCTTTTCCACTGCACACATTCCATTTGTCCTTTTTTTTTTCCTGTAAGTGTTGCTGCTATTAACAATTTTATTGTGCTTGATGGCATGCCATTTTGATGCCTGTGCCAGTGGCAAGCCGGGCTTGTTTGAATATATTCAAGTCTCTCATGATTTTATGAAATATAAAGCTCCACTACAGAAAATGGTTTAACAATCTCAATGAACTGCAGGACCTAACTGGAAGCCTGGAAGGAATCCTTAGCATTTACAAATACATGAGTCATTCCATATTTGAGACTTTACTGACTGCAGCTGCATACTTCTATGTACTCACATTCCAGCATCTCACTTATTTTAAATATTGCATCAAGATGCATAGTGTGCAGTGCTGCAAGCTGCTTATAAAAAGCCTGCAACATCACATATCTTCTGAATCCATTCAGAATCCCCACAGCTGTTTTTTCATGGAGTTACTAGATAATGTAGAAAGTTCAGTCACTCTGAAGCCATTTCTTTCACATAAGTGGTCATTCTAGATTTCAACTTTGAACACCTCATTCATTTGCACTTGTTTTCTTTTACTTTGCTTCTTGCTGATATTCTCAAGAATCTGTAGAATCCTGGTTCCCACCAAAATCAATGGGACTTGACTATCATGTGCTTAATGGTCAGATTTTAAGAAGCATTAGAACACCTTCATATGCAGGTGGGGGGATTCTCAAGAGAGCCTACTTGCATTGACATCTTCCTTAATACATTATATATCTGAAGTACAATTATTTTTTTTAAAAGTGACATGGGAACATATGTCATCTACATGGCAGAAAATTTAATCTAAGTGCTCAGCTCAAGCCCACATCCTGACTATTTCACCCTGACTTTCAATATGCTGTGCACTATTTTACTGTCTTAGATTGGTACTTACTCTGTATAACTTCATTTTTTACTCCATGCTTCCCGTATGGTCTGACATTAACTGCTCTAGTCATTTAAAATGAGAAGGATTCTTCAAGGTCTGGTTCTCTCCTAGGGCTCCATGCATATCAAAGAGAGGATGTTTCCAGATCAACACACTAGAGGCTGAGTTCTTACCGTGTTCTCACAGTCCGTATGTCAAGGCAACGATGATGTACTCTAGATCCTGTTTGGTTCAGTCTCCACCATGTGAGACTGTGATGTGTGAAGGACTGTGTGGGTGCAGGCAAAGACAGAAGGGAAAGACAAGGGAACTTGCAAGACTGAAAAGAGTGCAGGCTGTGTTCTCTTACATGAAGGAAGTGATACTTCTACATCCTTCCCCAGTCCTTGAAAGGGCTCTGTTGAGACCCCATCTGAGTCTAACTTTTTTCTTCCAATGGCCTCACTGCTTCTTCACCTTTTTATATCTGGTAGGCCTAAACCCCCTGGGCCCCTGGATGTGTGTTAGCCCTCATGTGACCTTCATCTGGTGGATTGCAATTAAAGGATAATCAGAAAATTATGAAAGCTTTAATAGATTGTATTAAGATTATGTTGCACTAATTGTTTAAGAGTAAATAAGAGTGTAATATTTGGAAGAGTTATACTGTGTCATAATAAGCTGAAATTAATCTCTGCAGCACTTCTGTCCAGATATTTAATTTCTGTGGAGTGGCTAAAATAGTCACAGAAAATCAGGAGTTTCTAATGCTCACTTCAGATCAGGCAAGCACAAAAATTCTGTCCCCAGAAAAGTGGCTTAATACACTGAAACTTGAGATCTGCAAGCTAACTCAATGGTATTGGTATTTATTCCTCTGAATATTACATGAAACGAGTAAGAACATTAGGAATTCACTAGTTCCCTAAGGAGTTCAATCCAAGATCCTTTTCCTCCTGAGGCAAGACAACATGCCAGACTACTGCCCTGCAAATCGTCCAGATGTCAGCTCTATTCTTTAAGGACCATCATTCAAGGAGATGACCCAATCCAAATGAAGTTAAGTATATGAGTGTCCTCCAGAAGATGCCTGAAATATTGGTAAAATTTGGGTTTTGTCACAATTTGAACCATAGGCTGAAAATGTCCTTAATTCTGCCTTCTTTTTTAATTTTTTTTTTTTAAGTGCTAATTGAAATAATTACAGAAGTCTTTTAGAAGGCTTGGAAGTTAATTCTTTAACTGTGATCACAAAGAACTACTACTTTTTTTCCTTTGAACTTTGACTATTTAGGCTATCCTCATCTGTATGTTGCTTTTATTACAGGAAATGTGCCCACAGTCATACTAAGAAAAAGAAGGCAAGAGAGAACAGGTCTTCTATAAACAATTTAATCTATTTTTTTTTTTCCATTTCAGTTGTTGTATGAGAAGATGCCTCTCTTAGCACGGCTCTTAGTAAAAACAGCACGAATTAACCACAGACTTCACCTTAGTGAAGCTCCATTTACCACGCTCAGTACTCCCAGGCCATTTGGCACAAAAGATGTCACAAAAGATGTCACAAGTTACAAGTGAGGTATTCCACAGTGGTTGCCATGCCTTACCATAGCCAAAGGTCAACACAGAGACAAGGTCTCAATCCACAAAGCAGTAGATTTCACAGCATCTGTCTCCTCACATCTTTTTGAGACTTACCTCTGCTTTCTGATGGGAATAGTGACCACATTTTCCTCCTCCTCTTTGCTGGCTGGAAGGAAGGCTCCCTTCTTCTGGATTAAAAACAGCAATGACATTGACTGTAGCCTTGTGCTGCTGCTTTCCCACTTCTTTTGAATCACACACCTGGAAAAGATGTTTATTATACAGAGATAGTAAACCGTGTAGAACAGAGAATGGACAGGGAACAAACAGGAATCCAAGGGATTACCTTGGATAGGTCTGAATCAGTTTTATATCAGTTCACATTTGGGTGCAAGAGCTGAACTGGTGGCACCCAGGTTAGAGCCTGTGATGGGCAGGTCCATACATGGAGGAATTGTGACATCCTGTGGCAAAAATGGGAAACGGCACACTAACGCTTTTACCGTTTTACCTATTTCAAACAGATTACTTCTGGAACTTCCGGATACCAAAGCCTCAACGGTGGCTTTTAAGAATAGAACTTTGTAGTGTAGGCCCGTAGCTTAGATTTTTTTTTTAATAAATAGAAAAAGTCACCACGAAGTATCACAGGCATCCAGCACCACGACAGTGCTGTCATTTGACCCCTGCTTAGAGTAGAAGATGACCATCTATGGGATGAAATTTAAAGCCAGATGGATGACATCTTGCCAGGGGTTTCACAGATCGTCATGGATTGCAGGATGAAAGTCACATTCAAGAAACCCAGCTCTCTCCCAGGCTGTGGAAGACAGAAGGAAAATGGACTAGGGACTCATCATCCGTTTAGCTCAACTTCTTTGCTTTATCCTCCCTAATCCTGCTTTTCCACACCCTTCCTCACTTTTTCAGCTCCTCACCTAGGTCTCCCATTTTCTTGCCTGAACCTCTTCAGTTCTGCTCTACTGGCTGCTCACGGTCTCTCCCTCCTCCCCATGTCACACTGCTTCTCTACCACCCCACTCTCCTACTATTTTTTCTTTTCTCAGCCAGCCAAGTTTCTCCTCTAAAATCACGCATTCATGTCCAATCAATCTTGTCTTTGTTCAGCTACTGCTCTGCTCCCAACTAGTGCCTAATCCTACCCTGCTAAATTTTCTACTTCCCCCGTCTGATTTTACAGTTCAAACACATCAGCAAGTCATCACAGCATAACAAGTCCATCAACAGAGTAGCAGTAATTCATCTTGCAGCAAATTACACCATCTTATCTCAAGGTTAATGTGAGGTAAAATTAATTTGGCTCAGCCTTTGTCACAGGCAGCTAAACTAGTGCACTTTTCTGACATTTTGCAACATGCAAAGTAAATCCACTCAGACATTGTGCAGTAACTCTCAAGGGTGTGGACAGTTTACTCATACATCTGAGCACCTGGTGTGCCCTACAGCCAAGTGGCTATAAAAAAAACCAAACAGATAGACAACACCCCAGTTCACCAACCCAGTCTTGTTCTGGAAAAGTTATTAATAAAAAAAATTACCAAAAGCCAAAACCTAACCCTATGGCCCACAGATCTAAGCAGAAAGCTCATCAGAAAAGATTTTTTGTAGGAAATAGGAATCTTATTTGATTGCTTACAGTTTAGTTGACTGTAGCCCACTTTCACCAAAGCGACAGGATATGTCCTTGACATATACAGATCAATCTACCAGATATGCTTTGAGTCCCTTTTCCAAAGTACTGATCATAGACAGGACTGCCAAAGTTTAATGCCGAGGATGAAGTATTTCCTCAGAGCCTTGTGTATTTTGGAATATTTTTCTTTGGAATATCTGGTTTATGACATATATTAAAAAAAAAACCAACAAATAAACAAGATACCTTCAGACCAAACCTCACCACTTTGCCCTCGCAGTGCATTCCACAGCACACAACAGGGTGCTAGAGGCTCTGGCCAGCTCTCACACAGCTTCAGTCCATAGCAATATGGAGATCTCAGGCAAAGAACACTTGATATAGTAATAACCAACCCAACTTCTAACGCTTGTAAGGCTGTCCACTCTTTATACCTGTAGTTCACAGAAATTTCTTAGAAATATAACTAAACATTAGCCAATATTTTACCTACACATACTCTCTAATCAAAGCAAGTTCCATGAACCTGAACCTTGAGCTTTTTCCCTCAGCCACATATACCTGTCACCTCCCATGAGTGAGTACCAGTCTTCAGGCAGCTATGCAGTGACCTGAAAACTTTTATATTTTATTTTTTGACAAGTCAGTTTTCACCCACATCAGTCTCCAGAGTTGGTTCCCTACACAGTCTTCCAGGTGCCAAGACTCGACAGATCAAAGGCAGTAAGGCCAGGCAGCTCATGGTGAACAAAGGAAAATGTGGCAACATCTCAAATTTAGTCCAATTTAATGCAGTTAATAGTGGGACTACACCTCTTTGGTCTAATATGACTCCAAAGAGTACTTATCTGTCAGGCTATGCCTTGGCATCTTGCAGCAGTCTCAAGAACCCATTCAGTTATTCCATTGCTCCTCCTCAACTTGGTTTCCATCTGGATCCATTCCACATAAGAAAAAAAGAGGTCCAGGCGACCTGTATTTAGTCATCTCTGAAATCCTTAAAGTGGAAAAATGTCAGAGGGTGGAGCCAACAAAGAATCATTTTTTGGCCAAAGTACAGTTTACACACCTCATTACCCCAAGGCAGCATGGAAAAAATTCAGCATGGAAATCATGGAGTTTTAATGAAATAAGATACAAGAAAGGAAAATTGAATTTGATCATGAGAAATGCCAGGGAACTCTATTAAAAAGTGGTTTTTGTTGCCACATCAATAATTATAATAAGGTATCACATTGTAAAGCTCTTTAGCAAAATGAGGGTCTTTACAGCCTGCTGGGTATCTTTAGGGTGTGGATCAATCCATTACGGGAAGTCATATCCTACAGATGTACTGATATAGACGGCATCTGTCAGGAACAAAGCTATGACAGCATTTTTTAGTTCAGACACATCTTCAGCTGACCCACTAACCTAAAAAAGTTGTTGCTTCAGGCAAGGGATGGGCCTTTAAGAAAGTAAACCAGCATTCAAAGTTGAATTGTCTACAAGTAAATTCACAGAGCCAAGGAATTTGGAATACAGTCCTGAAGTTGCTCTACTGTAATGAGGTACTGAGGGGCCAGTGTTTTATGTCAGCCTTGACAAGCTGTGAATAACCCTTTGATATACAGTTTTATACACAAAATATCTAACATAAGGGACTTGCTTCACGATTATAGACAGAAGAGTGGGTCCATTTGCAATTTCTCTGCTTCTTGTGTCCTATTCCAAGGCAGCATTGCTTGAAAATCTCCTGATGTTAACAAAAGCATTATCCCTTTCCGGTTTTAACATTTAGCATGAAGAAGCTTCCAACTTTGTTTCTTATAGAAAAGGATGGCCTCCTCTTTGAGGAAACAGCAATGTTTTGCAAAGCATGATGTTTATCTGTAATGCTTTGTACAGGCCTCTTGAGATGCTCTACAGATGAAAAAACCCCTGCAGCCTCTCTGGGCAGTACGTACCAAGTCTGTTTTCACAAAAAAAGAGAAGCAATTAGGTTGGAAAAGACCTCTGAGATCACCAAGTTCAACGTATGACCAGACACCACCGTATCAAATAGACCATGGCACTGAGTGCCACATCCAGTCTTTAATTAACACCTCCACCGATGGTGATGCCACTACCTCCCCGGGCAGACCATCTCAATGTCCATTTCCTCCTAATGTCCAATCTAAACCTCCTCTGGCACATCTTAAGACTGTCTTGCTGCTGATTGCCTGGAAGAAGAGGCCAACCTACACCTTCCTTTCAGGGAATTCTAGAGAGAGAGAAGGTCACCGAGCCTCCTTTTCCTCAGGCTAAACAACCCCAGCTCCCTCAGCCACTCCTCGTAGGACTTGGGCTCCAGACCCTTCACCAGCTCCCTTGCCCTTCTCTGGACTCGCTTTCACCATTTCATAGCCGCAGAAGTCCTAAATGACAACAAGCAAAGGTAAGAATAAGAATATCCAAACTTGAATCCTGTCCCTAACTGTAACTGCTAAACCAGATTTCCTAAGCACTAAGCGAGGGTCCCGGGGAGCATCACATGAAACAACTCCAGCAGCAGCTGCTGAAAAGCAAAAATAGACATGTCCTTCCTTTCCCGGCTTGGCTCGTTCCCTGTCCTCTTCAAAGCGCAGCCCCATCTCCTCTCTCCCGGAGGCGGCACAAGATGGAGGCGGCAGGGCGAAGCCTCAGGACTCTGCGGAAAGCGGGCGGCGGGTGCTGAAGGGAGCAGGAGCACAAGCAGCAGCACGCCGGCAGCCGCAGGGGAAAACCCCGAGGGGCACGGCTGCCCCCGGGCAGAGCCACGATCAGCCGCCCACAGGGCCGGGCAGGG